GTTTCCTGTCAGAGGGGAAAATAGAGTCAGGGAGGGGCACACGACATGAGAATTTACACCCTCAGGATGGCAGAGCGATCCAGGCCACATTTCACGCCCGCTGGTCACCACCAGAGTAAACCTCTTCTTCAGGTCCGCACATGTATATTTGGATGTGTTTTGTGGGCGTGTAAACCACAGTAAAACATACACCTATACATGCGGTGCTAAATTTGGCAGGGTGTAATTGTTGTTTAAAAGCAATGCCACAATAATGAATAGTTTCTACACTATATGATGTCCTCAAAGAGTAACATGTTGAGGGAAAGACCCCTTTTCTATAAACAGGGTTTTTGCAGGTTTCTTTAAGTCAAATTTATGACATTTTAAAACTCTTTAAAGACTATTATGAATGAAATTTTAGACTTATTCAGGGATAAACACTAAGGATTTTTTCTAATTTTTAGGTTACAGTTACACCTGTTTTTGGATTAATTGAGGATCATGGAAAGGAGTGTGTCGCTTTAGTTTTCTTTCTTTTAATTGTCTCATTCATTTGTTTTCTTGTTGGCTTAGTCCCTTTATTAATCTGGGGTCGCCACAGCGGAATGAACCGCCAACTATTCCAGCATATGTTTTACACAGCGGATGCATATTCAATTCGCCTACCGCATGTGTTTAGACTGTGGGGGAAACCGGAGCACCCGGAGGAAACCCACGCCAACTAGGGGAGAACATGCAAACTCCACACAGAAATGCTAACCGACCCAGCTGAGGCTCAAACCAGCGACCTTCTTACTGTGAGGCGATCGTGCTACCCACTGCGCCACCATGAAGCACAATTAGGAAGTTTAATTTGGAGATTTTGCTGTAAAAATGTCTAACAGCTGTTGTAAATGGATCTCTTTGCAATATAATAAAAAAAAAAATGCTTTGTGATGGATTATAGGTGATTAAGTGTTGGCCGAATTGGGTAGCTTTACTTGGCTATAGGGAAAGTCCTGTTTAAAATTATTTAAGACCTACAGCCCAACATTTCAGTCAATTCAAGACTTTTTAAGGCCTAAAATTGAGAAAATTAAGACATTTTAAGACTTTTATAACCCCCGGGGACACCCTGTATAAAACAATATTTGTAAATTAGCAGTTTTCTGTATTTTGTCATTCCTCATTTATATCTGCTTTTGAATTGCATTATGGGATCTTGATATGTCTTCCAACAACATTTAACCTCGAAAAGTTTGAAATAAGTGACATTCATTAACATATTTAATAGTTTATAGTGCTATATTGTCTGTGTTGGTGTTGTAGGCCTATATTACAGCTCAAACCTTGTAATAATCTGCCAGCACATTTTCTGTTATTGTACAGACTTATTCCTCTATGCATTGTTTATTATACATCATATTATTTCAAACTCCTAAATATCAATAAAAGTCACTTTGTTCAACATCAAAGGTCAACATATCAGAGATCAACATCCCATAATGCAATTCACAACCATCAATAAAAAGGAAACAATTGTGAATCACAAAATACAGAAACTGTCCATAACAGATATTTTTTACAGTAATAAAAGCTTTGAAATGATCAAATGCAGCATTTATTGAATGCATAAACATCACTTTTGTGTTTGTTTGCTGCATTAATAGAAATTAACATACTATGTGCTATACTGAATTAATATTTTTCAACACATTTCTAATCATAATAGTTTTAATAACTCATCTATAATAACTGATTTATTTGATCTTTGCCATGGTGACAGTAATGGTGACAGGCAAGTATAACGATGGTTTGTTCTGTAGACTATCGAATTTTTTTTAAGGGGGCTGATAATATAAATGTTGTTTAAAAAATTAAAAACTGCTTTTATTCTAGCTCAAATAAAACAAATAAGACTTTCTTCAGAAGAAAAAATATTATAGGAAATACTGTGAAACATTCCTGAATCTGTTCAACATCATTTGAGAAATATTTGGAAAAAAAAAAAAAATTCCAATAATTCCGACTTTAACTGTATGTCTATTCATCTCTTATTAACACACTTATCTTGGGAGCGTGGCTCATTTTCCACTCTCTGACAGAAGGTTTTGGTTGGCTGTTTGCTGGACTGAGCCTTCAGGTGGTCAGACAGGAGCACAAAGAGCTCTTTTAGTGGCCACTGCAGACATTTCCTGTCCCTCCCCACAGGGTTAACCCTTCAGGCATCCACAGACACACACACATCTCTCTTTTTGACACGAGACACGAACCGTCCCAGCCGTATTCAAGCCTGCACAGGGTGAAAGAGGCTTCATTTATGCGCATAAGTGTTTGCATGTTGAAAGGGAAAGCAAACAGAAATAGATAGAGCCTGGTTTGGGCATTTGCTACTTATAACTGTAAGACATTCATGTTGGCTCAGTGTGCGAACAATGTTGTCATTTATTCATTTTCCTTTGGCTTATACTCTATTTCAGAGGTTGCTACAGCGGAATGAACCGCCAACTATTCCATCATATATTTTATACAGGGTGTCTGCGGGGTCTTGAAAAGTATTAGAAGTTGATAAATCAATTGACATGGTGATGAGGTCTTAAAATGTATGTCTTAAAAAAGGTCTTAAAGGTATTAAATTTATCCCTCTGATTCCTGTGTGTATCCTGGCTAAAGGTGAATTGGATAAGCTAAATCGTCCGTAGTGTATGTGTGAATGCAAGAATGTATTGCTGTTTTCCACTGCTGGGTTGCGGCTAGAAGGGCACACGCTGCATAAAACATATGCTGGATAAGTTGGCGGTTCACTCCACTGTGGCGACCCCAGATTAATAAAGGGACCAAGACGAAAATAATGAATGAGTGTGAATGCAAGAATGTATGGCTGTTTTCCAGTGTTGGGTTGCGGCTGGAAGGGCATCTGCTGCATAGAACATATGCTGGATAAGTTTGGGGTTCATTGCACTGTGGCGACCCCAGATTAATAAAGGAACAAAGCCGCAAAGAAATTAAATGAATGAGTGTGAATGCAAGAATGTATGGGTGTTTCCCAGTGATGGGTTGCAGCCGGAAGGGCACACGCTGCATAAAACATATGCTGGATAAGTTGGCGGTTCACTCCACTGTGGCGACCCCAGATTAATAAAGGGACTAAGTCGAAAATAATGAGTGTGAATGCAAGAATGTATGGGTGTTTTCCAGTGATGGGTTGCAGCTGGAAGGGCATACGCTGCATAAAACATATGCTGGATAAGTTGGCGGTTCACTCCACTGTGGCAACCCCAGATTAATAAAAGAACTAAGCCAAAAATGAATGAATGAGTGAATAAATGTGTATGCAAGAATGTATGGGTGTTTCCCAGTGGTGGGTTGCGGCTGAAAGAGCATCCGCTGTGTAAAACATGCTGGATAAGTTGGCGATTTATTCAGCTGTGGCGACCCCAGATTAATAAAGGGACTAAGGTGAAAAGAATGAACATTCACTTTTGTGAGAACTAATTAATTTAATAATAAATGAATCAAGCTTCATTTCACAAGCAATGCAGCACATTTCAGCTTGTTGTATTTGTGTAATTGGATTTCAATTTCATCAAGGGCTACATGTGTAATTGACGTGTTGTGCAATGTTTTTGTTTACCAGAGTGGCCTGTGTTTTGCACAGGAATGAGGTTTATGAGTCATTTCATAGATGGTGATTATGTGGCCACTGAAATATATTGACTCCTCATACGCCATGCCAAAACGTATGGAGCATTGTGGAAGCAAAACAATACTGCTCCAAAATAAGACGTAAAATCATATGCCACAGGGACCACAAGACAAAAACAGAAGAGTGAGGCAGTTTACGAGACTAAATTCCTTCTCTTTCTGAGTTTGATCTGAGGGCTTGAGTGAATTATACATAAATTACAAATTACTTTACACTTTTAAATAGATTTTAGTTATCCAATTGTTGGCACGGTGGCTTATTTTTTAGCAATGTCATCTCACAGCAAGAAGGTTTCTGGTTTGAGTCCCAGCTGGGCCAGTTGGCATTTCTGTGTGGAGTTTGCATGTTCTCCCTGAGTTCGCATGAGTTTCTTCCGGGTGCTCTGGTTTCCCCCACACTCCAGGTGAATTGGGTAAAAAAATAATTGGCAATAGTGAATGAGTGTGTGAATGCATGTTTGTATGGGTGTTTCCCAGTTCTGGGTTGCAGCTGAAAGGGCATCAGCTGCATAAAAAATATGCTGGAATACAGGAGCCGTCTGGCAACCTTTCGCATAGGGGAGTGGGGGTAGGGAGATGTGTCGTGGACAAAAGTGAAGAGCGGGGTGGTTTTGGGGAGATTGATGCATCAGGGACGAAAGTGAAGAGCTGGGGGGTGTCGCAGACTTAAGTAATGAGGGGGGGTGGGGGCACGGACAAAAGTGAAGAGCGAGGAGGAGGGTGTCACAGACAAAAGTGGAGAGGGGCGGGGCGTTGTGTCATGGACAAATGAGAAAAGGGGAGGGCACGGACGACAGTGAAGAGTGAGGAGGAGGATGCTGCTGACCAAAGTGAAGAGTGGAAGGGGTGGGGTCATTAGGGCCCCTAATAATGTCTCTGGGGGCCCCAAAACTGTGTGAGTCCTTAGAATCGTCCTAACCCTCCCCCCCCCCAACAGCACGGGGCTCTTCCTGCTGGAATAGTTGGCAGTGCATTCCACTGTGGCAACCCCTGATAATCAGACTAAGCTGAAGGAAAATGAATGAGATATCCAATTTAATAGTCATTCATTTGATCTCATGAAGTCATTACAAATATTTAAAAGCGCCAATTTTGAAAATAAACATTCCCATTACACTGTAAACAAAGTGTTAAATGCATCAGTGTACCAATATTTGCATATAACCTTAAATATACGTGTACTTTTGGCTAAGCAATATTGACATGGGAAAAAGCAAAGCGTGTAGTTTAAACAAACAACGCCACATTAAATAACTCATCAGTCAATAGTCATTTCACTAATCTGCTTATGTAATTCTCAAACCACCAGAGACGCTCAAAATAAACACAAGTCATTTTCCCACATGACCCAGAAACCATTTTAATATAAACAAACTATTCACCAACGAGCATTCCCATCAAAAACACACTGCAAGCATCAGCTACTTTTTCTTTGAGTACTCCTTCCGTCCACCGCCCGCTCCGAAGTTTCGCACGCGGTGTATTTTGGAGAGCTGCGCCTCTATTGTCTCTATAATGTTGATCTGGTCAGGGATGTGGACGTACCGCACGTTTCTGCCAGTAATGAAGAGATCATCCATGCTCGACTTGCGTCCCCGTCTGTCCCTGTATAGGACATTCTCCAGCCGGATGTTCATGAAAGCGTCCACATTTATCACTCTGCCCCTCGCTGTGCTCTCGTCTCGCAGGTCAACTGTGGTCACCTGTCCATGCAGACCCTGCAGGAGGATCACCAGACTGTTCTCAGCGATGGTGCGTTCACGTATCGAATGGCTCACGTCCATGTTGATCTGTGCACAAAATAATCATAAACAATCAGACGATTTCTTTTGTGTGATATAATATCTGATTATAATACTACGTAATGACTAGACCCACACAGAATCAACATGTGGAGCATGACGCAGATTTTTAGTGCATCGTTGAGTCTATTTATTTACTTTGTATATGCATTCAATTTTGAAATTAATTTCAGTATTATTGACTAATATGAAAATTATCATATGATTTATGTACAATACAGTATGTAAATTAATATGTTCCATCTGTTAGTAGATATATTATATGAGAGACTTTGTTTACCGAATAAGTGGATCTAGTTGGATTTGCACTGTAAACATTAAATACAAGTTAAAACAGTATTATTTTTATTTAATTTATTAAGATTTTTGTAATGATACTCCTAAAATCATTCTGCATAAATCCGCAGATGTTTTACAGCAAATACAGTGCTTAACATATACAAGTACAGCCCCACAGATCTCTCATTTAAATTAATGTTTTCTACAAGAAGCTTTATGAATATTATATTTATGTATTGTATTAGTTAGTACTGAAGCCAAATCTGGAGCTAATCTAACAAAATAACTTATGATAACAGTCCAAAAGTAGTTTGTAATTATTTTCTCAATATTTTACATTAATTTGAATGTAGAATCTAAAATTTCTAAAAATGTTCTGTAAGTAAAATATTAAATATATATATATATATATATATATATATATATATATATATATATATATATATATATATAATCTGTTTTGTTCAAATGCACCAAAATATATGCCCTATACTCACCAAGAAATAGATAAAAATATTCATTTTCAAAATGGGGTGTACTCGATTATGTTGAGAACTGTATATCTGTAAATCTCAAAGAAGTATATGGAAAATGGTTGCCTCACATAAATGTAAAAAATGTCTGTCATAAGCTGAATAATTGTATTTAAATGTTGTGGGCAAGTGCATGCTTGCAGGTTTACGGCTCCGCTGACAGACACATCGCACACCGCCTTTTATGAAATTGATAGAAAATATCCAAAGCAGGTTTGTTTACAAAGGTGAAATGTGAAATATGTTGTCAAATGTCTTTAAATGAATTTTAATCCGCGTTAATAACATAACATACACATACATACATAATATATTATGTTTCCATACGTTTTTGCACTTTTTAATGTCTTCATATGTCTATTTGTGTATGTGTAGGAAGATTTTTGTGCCAATTTTAGCCAACTATTATTTAATTGTTTGATAATTTTTTATATTATATTAAACATTAAATCAATAAGTATAGTATGCATACCAAGGCTAGTATTCAATTCAGGCTTATTTGTACAGCCCTTTTCACAATAATGAATGTTTCAGAGGTGCAAATTATTGCATTACAATCAAATTTAGAAAATATAATATTAGTGACTGTACTGTATTAGTTACTAATAATTTAACAATAGCTTATATATATATATATATATATATATATATATATATATATATATATATATATATATATATATATA